AGAATTCTGGGAGTTGAAGTCCACAAGTCTTTTTAAATACATTTTTTTTTTTTTTTGCTTCTATATACACCTCATTGTGTGAACAGTGTGGTTCCAAGGGGTGTATAGTATTACTAGAATTGTGTAATGCGTTAAATGTTAGTAGGGTGAATATTGTTTGTTTTATTATAATTGGGAGTAGGAAGAAACTTTGTTTTAAATGTAATGGGGGTGCAACCAAGAACTAAAAATGGGGGTAAATGATAGAAAATACAAATTAATATGAATTTATGAATGGTTATTTGAATTATGTAATTTGTTAAATACTGCCAATATGCTGACATAGAATTTATAATAAAAGAAGTGATAAGAATATAGAGATTGACAGAAAATCGTATATGAAAATATTAAATAATTAAGATTGATCATATGTATTAATATCAAATTATGTAAGAAAGTTAATAACATCAATGTGAAACCATTGTCATGTTTGTTTAAAAATGTAACATGACCTGAAGTCCACAAGTCTTAAAGTGGCCAAGTTTGTGAACTCCTGTTCTGACCCAAACCTGGTTCTAAGAGAGCAAACACGAGACATAGGTACCAGCAGAACCTTTTAATGTTTCATTTAGGAATCCTGTTTCTTCACAGATAAAAGGCTGCTTCCAACTAATTAGCTACGACAAGAAAGAGCCTGGCCAAGTTTTTGCAAGACTGCCAAGAACAACAGATAAAGTTCCTAAACTATAAATCAAAGAGTCTCCAAACACCAACTCGGATATTCCTAATGTCCACCGGGCTCCAGTGCAAAAACTTCTTTGCTTCCTACAAAGAACTCCGGTTTCTCAGCTGGCTTTTATCTCTTGAGAGAGGGGCCATTACCTTGCAGCCTTACTCCCGAGTCGCCCGTGCTGCTGCAGCTGCTCTTTCCTTCCAGCAGCCCTGCATGCATGCACATTGGGCACAGGCTCCTCGGGGGGCCTCTTCCTCACTGCTGCCAGCCACCGCAATCTCCGAAAGCAGCACCCCCCCCCCCCGATGGTCCTGGCCCCACCCCTGCATCCCCCCCAGGCCCCCCACCGGAGTCCTCGCTCTCCGAGGCCTCAGCCGTCCCCACCTGTTCCCCGTGAACCACAACAACTCCTGAGTTAAGCAATGGAAGGACCAAATGACTCCATGGTTGGGCTCGGCTTAGGACGTCCGTTGGCCTTGATCCAGCCCTGGTGGTCCACTCAGTCCACTCTTTGAAGAGGTTTCGCTTCTCCTCCAAGAAGCTTCTTCAGCTCTGACTGGTCATTTTCATCCTTTCTGGGGGCCGTTAAGGCCCCTTGGCAGTTTATCTCTGCCCTCTCTCCGACTTTCTCAACGTCTCTCTCAAAGGATGCAAATGACCAGCTGTCTGCAAGGAGAGTAAACCCTTCCCTTCCCCACCATCCAGTCAGAACTGAAGAAGCTTCTGGGATGAGAAGGGAAACGTCTTCAAAGAAACACCAGTGAGTCCCGTTGCCTCCTGAAGGAAAAGCACCTTTGGGACAACCAGGACAGCTGGAGGACGGAGAATCTCCGTAGACTTTCCCCCTTACCTTCTTTTCGGTCTTCTTCTAGGCGGTGCATGAAACCATCCTGAACCACCAATTCTTGATCGTCCGGATGAAGGACCTCCTCTGGAGTAAGGAGGACAGTCGGAGGTTCTACCAGGAGCACTCAGGTTGGTGTGGAGGCTTCCCGGTGCAGGTGGGGCTGAAATCCCGCTGACTGGGGAAGGGTCTCTTGTCCTCCAGCCTTGGGACCTTCTTCCCCAGTGCATCCCACTTGGGTATCCCAGAAGCTGGACTCTAGATGGCCCTCAGGTTTGACCCAGTTCAGAGTTCCTCTGGTGGCCTGAGGCTTCCAAAGATCTTCATCCCCGGATAAAAGAAGTCCATAGGGGTTCAGTAGAGCCCCCATTCTGGGGCCCTGAAAACCCTAATCTCCAGCTTTCTAGAGATTAAAATCTGAGCCTCCTAATGTTGACCATGTCCCTCATGGAGCTGAGAGTCCTCTTGGGTGAACCTGATCCAGGTGTGGGCAGACAGACATGCATGGACTTGGGCTGAAGGAAAGGATGGGTCAGATTCTTCCTCTGGTTCCTGTCTGTGGGTCGGATGACATCCTGGGGTCAGGGCTCAAAGTAGAAGACCTCAGTGTGCTTCTAAGCCTTGGCCATCTTGGCTTCTGCATCTCGACCTGCAAGCTGGAGTGAGCTGATGATGGATCCAAACCCCTTTGGAGCTCACCAGCCCTACGTCTCGGTGGCTGTGGGGCTTTGCTTGCGTTGAGATCCAGCAGGGTGAAGAGCGAGCAGAGCAGAAGCTTCCTTGTTCCTCAGAAGTTCTTCTTCTTCTTCTTCTTCTTCTTCTTCCTCCAGGGCGATTTTTCTACCAGAGGCTGGTGGAGTTCATGTCCAGGTAGGTCCAGAGCTGGTGGTTGAGAAGACCTCCTTCCTGTTCCCTTCAAAGGCCTGCAGCAGAGCTTCCAAACTTGGCCACTTTAAGACTTGTGGACTTCAACTCCCAGAATTCTCCAGCCAGCTTTGGGATTCTGGGAGTTGAAGTCCACAAGTCTTAAAAGTTGCCAAGTTTGGAGACTTCTGGTCTAGTTAGTTGGTGGTTTCTCCATCTTGGTCGCTTTAAGAAAGGGTGGACTTCAACTCCCAGAATTCCTCAGCTAGCTTTGGGGATTCTGGGAGTTGAAGTCCACCCTTTCTTAAAGCGACCACGGTGGAGAAATCCCAACCCTAACCCTCAGGGCCTACAGGAACCCCAGATACCTTCACACCAATGATTTTGTTCTAAAGGAGGGTGAAATGAGGAAGGGGAATGATGCAAAGGTAGGAAAAAAGGACAGGACTCATCTTGGCTTATTTCTGGAGACCCTTGTCAATATTATACCTCGCTCTCTGGATGCGAAAGAGGCGGAGACACCTGCTCCCCTGTAAAAATTTACTATGTTGGTAGAACAGGGGCCTAAATTCTCCACCAGGTGGGAAAGGGCAGGAGCTAAAATTCAGTAAAAAAAGAAAACAAATAACCACCCCATCCACGTGTTATGTCCAGTTGAGAAATAACAGAAATTCCCAACAGATTCAGGATGGGAAAGATGAGAAATTTCTCTCTTTTCTTTTTTTCATGCCTATTTTTATTTTATGTAAAACAAAGGTAAAGTACAAAAATGCAGAACTAAAAAACAAAACAAAAACAAACTCCAAAAACACAGCAAAAAACCCCATACAAAAGTGTTTAATGTGTGTAATGTGGATTGTTGATTTTTTGATGCACCTTCTTTTAATGTTTAGATTGTTTTGTGAGAAAAAAAAAATTAAGTTGTAGGAAAAGTTTTCCTAGCTGTTGTGTTGCCTCTTTGATGAAGATATTTGTATCTGTGTGTGTTTGTGTGTGTGTGTATACATGCAAATGCTCCAACACTGGAGGTTTCCAAGAAGAGATTGGCTAACCATTTGTCTGAAATGGTATAGGATTTCCTGCCTAAGCAACGGGCTGGACTAGAAGACCTCCAGGGTCCCTTCCAACTCAAAAGATGGATGGACTCAGCATGGTTGGAAGGCCTGAAAGACCAGGCAGGGGTCGTTCTCTGTGGCTGTCACCTAATCAAAAAAAACCCAACACTTGTGTATTGCGTTGTGTTGTGTTGCGTTGACCACCAGGAGGCAGCCAGAGACCAGTGTCCTAAATGGCCAGAAGTTCTTCCATGAGGCTTGAGGGCCTGTCCAGGGTTGGATGGAAGAGCTTTCTCTGTTGATATTCCAGATGGGGGAATGCAGGGGGTGTTCTAGATTGTAAGGGTTCTAGGTTTGGAGGAAAGGAGGAAGGAAGGAAGGAAGGAAGGAAGAAGAAGGAAGGGGGGAGGGGAGTTATCAAAGAAGATGGAAGGGAGGAGGAAGGAAGAAAAGAAAGAAGGGGAGAGAGGAAGGAAAGGGAGGGAGGGAAGGAAGGAAGAGGGAAGGGAGAGAAGAGGGAGGGAGTAAGGAAAGAAGGTGGAAGGGAGATGGAAGAAGAGGGAAGTGAAGAAGGAAGGAAGGAAGGGAGGGAAAAGGAAGAGGTGGAAGGAAGAAAAGAAAGAAGGGAAGGGAGAGGAGGGAAGGGAGGAAGGAAAGTAGGTGGAAGGGAGATGGAAGGAAGAAGAGGGAAGTGAAGAAGGAAGGAAGGGAAGAGGGAGGTGGAAGGAAGAGAAAGAAGGGGAGAGGAAGGGAAGGGGGCAGGGAGGGAGGGAGGAAGGAAAGAAGGTGGAAGGGAGATGGAAGGAAGGAAGAGAAGTGAGGAAGGAAGGGAGGGTGGGTGGAAGAAAGGAAAGAAAAGAGAAGAGGGAAGGGAGGACAAGGATATTGAAATGCGTAGAGACCAGGGAGCCTCATGGATGAACCTCCTTCCCCTTTCAGCGGTCCCATGAGGGTTTACATCCTGGCCCACGAGGAAGCCATCACACGCTGGAGACGGCTGATGGGTCCCACCAAGGTGTATCGTGCCCGCCACACGGCCCCAGAGTCCATCCGCGGCAGTTTGGGCCTTACGGACACCCGGAACAGCGTCCATGGCTCAGGTGAGCCCCAGAGCTGAATTCCTAGGGAAGGCTGGCGCAGGTGGCTCCGCAAGGCCTCCTGAAGTCATGGAGGTTCTTAAGAAGCGACCGGACAGCCATTTGTCCGGAATGGCAGAGGGTCTCCTGACTGAGCAGGGGGTGGGACTAGAAGACCTCTAAGGCCCCTTCCAACTCTGTTAATTCTGTTCTTCTCTCCTCCCCCCCCCCCCCCCCCCAGACTCTGCAGCCTCAGCTAGCAAGGAAATTGCCTTCTTCTTCCCAGATTTCAGCGAAGAGGAGTGGCACCAACGTGAGGAGCCGCAGCTCCGTAGAGAAACAGTTGGGCCTTCTGAGGTCATCCATTGCCACCTGAAAGACGGGGCAGGATAAACCAGCTCGAACCTCCTCCTCCTCCTCCTCTCAGGGATGTCACCTGGGCCTCTGCCATGACCCAGTTGGTGGCCCTCGCGAGCTTCATCACAGCCTGTGAACTTTGCCGCTAGGAGACACTCAACGGAGAGGGGGCTCTGCCCCTCTTCCTGTGCCAAAGACCAGGCTCAACACGCGTGTGCCATGTGCCGTCTTCACCGATGCTCATCTTCCCTGGGATGTTTCAGGCCACAAGGGCAGGGTTTCCAGGCTGGGCTGGGGAGAGAGCAGTCTTCATGGGATCTCTTGAAGTGCCTGGGACCAAGGAGGACGTCGAGAAGGTGGGACCCTAACCAGGATAGACTTGACACCCAACTGGAATGGTCTTGAGTTACTCTCTGGAAGTTGAGTCATGGGAACTGGACTTCTAAGAAGAATTGGAAGGTCTTATCGGGAGAACTGGACTTCTAAGAAGAATTTGAAGAACATCTAAGAACTGGACTTGAACTGGGCTGGACTTCCAAGAAGAAATTGAAGGTCTTATCAGGGGAACTGGACTTCTAAGAAGAATTTGAAGAACATGTAAGTCTAAGAAGAACTGGAAGAACTTCTAAGAACTGGACTTGAACTGGATTGGACTTCTAAGAAGAACTGCAAGTCCAGTTGCCAGGACTCAACTTCCAGAAAACTTTATGTGGATGACTGAGAATTTTTATTGACTCTTAGGTTACTGGTTTCTGAGACAGATTTTGCCTATGTGCCAATGAACCTTTCTACTTGTGGATTTACACACTGAACCCCCCTTTTTTTGGGGGGGGGAGCACAGTCCTACCCCAGGCAGCTGTAAGATGGACATGCTCCCCATCTTGTGCTTAAGACCTCTGGCCTCTGGCTGGCGACATGGAAGTGGAACGGAGCCCACTCCAAACATGACTGGAAGCGTTCAGCTCGAATGCTTTTTCATCCTCGCCAAGATTTCTTAAATGCCTAAACCCCATTGAGAGGTCTCCCTTTTCAGCCTTTTCAAACAGACCTGGAGATCCTTACGTGTTCTCCAACCTCTCCCCAGATTTTGGGCTGCAAAGAGAATTGAAAAGACGAAATCTCCTGGGTGCCTTCTTTTGTCACCTCTTCAATATTTGGGTTTTTTAAGACCTCCCTGCTTGCAATGCTCCTTGGCAGATGGAGGACCAGGTACTTCGGGTTGGCTGGACTGCACTTCGCACTCTTCACCGCTATTGCCGTGGCTGTGACGGGTGTTTGGGAGTTGTAGCCAAGTCTCATTTCAAGAGCCATAAGCAAAGGTAGTATTCAGCTGGGTCAGGCCGGTTCTGGCGTACCGGCAGCAGAAATTTTGGGTAGTTCGGAGAGCCGGCAAATACCACCTCTGGCTGGCCCCCTGTCAGGTTTCCAAGTGATGAAACCCATTTAAAAAGAAAAGAGCAAAGTCTGTCTTCCAAAACAATTTCTTTTATTTAGGAAAGCATCCAATTGGCAAAGTCTGTTGTAATTCCAGATCTGACCCAACCCGGAATTACCCCACATAATATTGGAAGTTAGAAACAGCCCCCCAAACAATCACATTCCCCAATAGAAGTAAATCAACGTTTGCCTGGTGTCATCCGTCTCCACCTCCAGGTCTCAGCATAGTTTCATTCCCACAGGAAGGAGAACCACCTAGCCTAAACAACTATCTCCACACCTCCCACCTTAGGAATGTGGCAAGCCCGAAACCCTTCCCCCCACGACCAGCAAAGAGAGAGAATGAAAAGGAATAGATAAGAAGGCTAAATAAAGTGGCTATGCATGTGTCAATTTTGGGCTTGACACCCCGCCCCCTGCTTTTTCCCATCCTTGATTCCATTGATTCTTAGCTTAGCTGATCGACATGGCAGAGAGATTGCCGTGCCTCAGCTGAGCTAAAAAACAGCTCAGGCGATCTTTGAGTGCTGCATATGCGCGTGAAGTGCCCGCAGAACCGGTAGTGCGCAATTTCGAACCCTACCACTGGCCATGGAGTCACCATCTCTGAACACAAGACAAAACAGGAGCCAGATTTAAGAATGAAAGGGGTCAAACCTGTCCCATCTCTATTCTCTCCTCCCAGTCTCATTCGGTGGTGCCCCAGCAAGGTTAAAAAATCGAGCCCCCATATTTGTAGGACACACAACACTGACATAATTTTATCTTGGCTTGGGTGTTGGCCAAACTCAACCTGGTTGGACAGTGTAGGACTCATAGACTGTCGGAAAACAGGTTCTTCCTCCTAATGGCCAACTTTGTTGTGTGAATCCTTCAGCATCGTTCCCAATTCTGTGGCCAGCTGGACGTTGATGGGGCTCCTCACCACCCGTATGTCCCCGTCTCTGAGCATCCTGTTTCTCATCATACTTTGTGCAACTGGTCCATGGAAAATAGATGCTACCAAACATTCGTTATATTTGGATCTCATTCTGATGCCCCAGACCAGGATGTCCAACCCTGTGCAACTTTAACTCTTGTGGACTTCAACTCCCAGAGCTCTTCTACCAGCTGGCTAAGGAATTCTGGGAGTTGAAGTCCACAAATCTTAAAAGTTGTCAAGGTTGGATCATAACTGGGGAATTCTGGGAGTTGAAGTCCACAAGTTGTCAAGGTTGGAGCATAACTGGCTGGGGAATTCTGGGGAGTCCTTTGAAGTTGTCAAGGTTGGACACCCCTGCCTTAGACTCTGGGGTGTCCAGCAAAGGACCCCAAAGAAAGCCCCTTCCTTGTGAACCTCCAAGGAGAGTTTGCACTTTGACCTCCTTATTTTATATCTTCCTTTCTAAAGTGTTGAACCCAAGAAAGTTGCTTTCTAATTCTTCCCAAAAGCGAGCAAGCCTCAAGGAAAGGCTCCACCTGCTCCGCCTTGGCATTCCCTCCAGGAAGACAGCAAAAATTTATTACCAGATGGAGAGGCAGTAAAGGGTTTTCACCCTGAAAACCAACACATAAATTAGACCATTTGTGAGTCTCTCTTCTGCCAGCCAAATGGACTCTGCTGCTTTTTAGACCCGATGGTCAAATACGTTCAATGGAAGGGTGACCCCAGCTCCAACCCAGCTGTGGACTTTCCCAAGAAATGGATATATTTGCCCAGAGTTTGTATTATGGAACAATCATCAAGGATTCTTTAAAAAAAAAATATTAATTACGTTAATCCCTAATCTCCAAACTTATTTATCTTACTGGTAAATTATTCCTGCCAGGGGTTCAGGATTTATTGGGTTTTGTATTGGGGTTTTATTTCTGTAAGCCGCTCGGGATGGGTCAGTTGGGTGGCCTTATCAATTTTCTTAATGGAATAAAAATAAATAAATTACTAGATAAGAGAAAAAGTGGTACCGAATCGGAGCGAGTGGCCAAGCATTAACAAATTGTCAAGGGAAAAGTAAAAGACTCCAACAGGATCTGCAGGAGGAATTAAGTGCCCAGGTAGCCATGAAAACTGCGCAATCAAATCCCCTATTTGACTTTCTTTTTTTAAATCGTGCATGGGAATTGGGCTGTGATTATTTTATTTTAATTCTACTCCATTTTATTGTGTTATATTTTGTTATTTTTATTTCATTTTTTTATTTTTTTATTTTATTGTTTTAATTTTATTATTTTCCTGCCTTTACTATTTTTACCAATAACTCAAGGTGTCGAACATTTTTCTGACACAATTTTCCGACACTTCCAATTTTCCTCACAACAACAACAACCCTGTGAGGTCGGTTTTGGCTGAGAGGGAGTGGCTGGCCCAAAGTCACTCAGCTGGCTTTCCTGCCTAAGGCGGGAGTAGAACTCGCCGTCTCCTAGTGATTGGTCCAAATAGCCACTTGGCTATTTCATGGCCGTGGCGGGATTTGAAATCTTGCTTTCTAGCTTGGTGCCTTAACTCCCAGCCGTGTGTTCGAATCCTCCATCTTGATTATTATTATTTTTTTGAAAACCAAGTGCGAAGAAAGGTTCTTGAGGATAAAAGCCCTTTCCAAGTTGAAAGAAGGGGAAATGACATCCCTGAGTTAGATTTTGATGCAATTTCACACAAAGTTCCTAATTATTGAGATACCAATTTTTCTCAACACTTCAGTGGGGAAGTGTTATTGAAGGTAAGTAGCAGAGTTGGGAACTCCTATAACTACCATTTTACCATGTTTAATTGTAAGATGGCAACTTCCCATCATTATACCATGTGATTTCTATGATAAATTGCAGTTAATTTGCAGCTGAGGTGGAGGTGGAAGGAGGTTGAAGCAAATTGGAGAGAAAGGACGTGGGAAGCCAAGCGCATGAAGCAAGGAACACTCGACCCACGTTTGGGGGTAGACCCGTTCTAGAGCTTTCTCAGGACTGAAATTAAAGCCTGCCTCCCATGACAGAAGCATAAAATTTCAGGGTTGAGCATCCTGGGCAAACCAGACCACCACAGTTTCTTCCACAAAGCATAAGGACAAACTGGCACAGCAAAACACCTGAAAACCACTGGGTCTGGGGTCAGGGGAAGAAACTTCCCATAACTGGAAGAGCAGCTTCCCCAGGGCGCATGCACAGGAGCGCTGGGAACCAGAAGAGTGCGCTGGACAGCTGAGCTTCCGGTTTCTGGTGCACATGTGCGGACAAAGACCGCTTGCACACAGGGAGCTGCTCTTCCAGTTTCCGGTGCTCCTGCGCGTGTGAAGACCAGCTGAACCCGGAAGAGCAACGGGCAATGGCTGGCGTGCCTGGAGAGATGGCTCTGTGTGCCACTCCCGGCACGCGTGCCATAGGTTCACCATCATGTAGATTCTGGTTGTCCGAAAGATGCTTTTTCAGGAGGCAACTGGACTTCCTTGTTTTTTCTTTGAAGTCTTTGTCTCCCTCCCCCTCTCTCCCCCTCCCTCCACCCCTCCTCTCTTTTCCTCCCTCTCTCCTTCCCTCCCAATCTCTCATCTTTCTTTTCTCTCTTCCTCTCTCCCTCCCTCTCAGTCTGGCCCTCAATCTCTCTCTCTCTCTCTCTCTCTCTTCCTACCTCTCTTGCAACCTCATCATTTACACTGATGATGTTACCTAGTTTGAGTAGTGAAACATTTGCAAGAAAACCACCAAGCCCAGAGAGCGCCAATCCTCAGCTATCTGTGGATGTGCATATCCCATGCAGAGTCTTATCCTTATTAGCTTATTAAAAGGGCACATAAAAAAAAAACTAAAAATAGTCAAGGAGACTACAAGATAGAATAAGCAAAGAAATGATAGGTGCAATAAACATAGATACACAAAGAATAATGACTTTGAATTCCCTTTATAGCAGTTACAGATAAAACTCAAAGTTTTCTCTTCAGGTGCAATGGAAACTCCCATTTGTCTCTACAACCTGTAAATGTTACTGGACATGAAATCTGTATGTCTCTACAACCTGTAAATGTTACTGGACATGAAATCCGTATGTTATGGTTTCTGTTTCCTGAAAGAGCTTCAAATGGAGCTTCTAACTGGTATTAAATTTGGCCTGTCTCTTTTTTCTAATTGGAGCTGAACGTTTCGCCATCCCAGCCAGCTCCACCAGCTTTAACAACCACACTTCCATCATGTCACATTTTTCCAGCAATGAGCATATAATAGAAGTCTTGTTGCCTTGCAGTTTCCCCAAAGTTTTGCCCATCAATCTTAACAAAAAGTACCTCGGTTTATGATCAAATGCGCAGATGAAAAGGCAGTTGTGTTATGCAAGGAAGGAAGGAAGGAAGGAAGGAAGGAAGGAAGGAAGGAAGGAAGGAAGGAAGGAAGGAAGGAAGGAAGACTTTTAGTTCCAAAGAACAACCATAATCTACATGGTCAAAACATCAAAAAAGCAAACTTAAACTGCGGTGTTAAAAATCCCTACAACTTTGTACTTTCGCGTTGACCTCAGAAAGCAAACCCACCTGGGGGCCAGGTGAAGAAGTTGGTCAGGAGAATGCCTAAGTTTATCCCTCCTTTTCATGCCCAAAGAAGAGAACAATGAAGTTGATGGCATCTCCCTGAGGAAGAAGCCCAGGAGACTTGAGGGCTGTGATTGTGACAAGAAAGTTAACGACTCCCTTTGCACCTCGTTTAATCCTTCCAGAAAAACAAAACTGGTTGACAACACCATCTCCCCGATGGTAATTCCACCCCCATTAAGAAACTCCCCAGGAGGCCCTTTCAAGGTTCAAATAAACTCTCATATGAAGGCACAGAGTTGGAAAACTTCCTGATCCAACTTTGCCAATTAAGTGTTCTCGACACTAACCGGCTAATTAGTAAAAAGCATTCCCTGAAGATGACGCCAATTCAGTTGAGCTGTGACAACTAAGAACTTGTTGAGCAATGTAAGAACTTAATGAAAGCCAACAGCAAAGAGCAGGGATGGACAACTACAGCCCTTTTATGACCTGTGGACTTCAATTCCCA